AAAATTCGTGTCTTCAAGCGACCATGTATATTCTATTTATCATATAATTGTATATGAAAGCAAATTATGTCGTAATATAGCTTTTTTCTTACTCACACTATATAACAAAATCCGCGAATGTGTTTTTTTTTTTTCACTAGTGAAAATAACATGTTATTTGTAGTCGAAATTAATTAAATGTTTCATAACAATTTTGGAATGCACCGTCCGTAAATGTGACATTTTTACGACATTGAAGATTGTTTTTCTGCGACTTTGTACTTATTGACGGTCCACAACATATTATTGACCGCTGGTGGACAGTTGCCGGGAAACAGTAAAAGTTTGTGACTTTCACGTGGTACACTCTAGACCAATAAGATACTAGGAAAAGTGAACCTTGACACTTGATATATAATAAAGTTTTTATCATATAATTATCTATGAAATACCTATATTAACCAATACCAATTAACGTTTACAGAGCGCCCAGTATCTCGTTTTATCGATACCGTTGTGAATGGATTGTTTATTTAGCTGGGCGAGTGCTTAGTGTTGCCGAAATAATTAATACATTTTCCAGGAAACTGTTTAGACCTTGTGAATGTGCTTTAAGGTGTCCAATAATTTTTTATGAAATCTTAGATTCAATACGTGAGGACGTAAGACACTCTGAGCTAAACAAAAACTTACTTAGCTTGATATCTCGACAAGCGTCATCCTGACTAGGGTATAGCAGTCCTATAATAGTTATGTTGTGATATAACCCCGGGGGGGGACTCCCTAATATCAAAGGGCGGGGGGTCCTCGGCGTCCCTTTTAGGGTTTGAAATCAGTATTTTGGTCCCGCTTAGGGTGATCATGACAAGAATTCCTACCAACTGTGTTTTGTGGTCCCTTTTAGGGTATACGGCGAGCCCTAAGCAGTCATAAAATGGCAACGTCGTCATAAACTCAATACGAGCCGACGGTGTTCGATGATTGTGTAAAAACACAAATAAAATCGGTAAACCAAAACAAAAAT